GGCCAAGGGCAGCTCGGGCCCCGCCAGCGGCAAGGGAAGAGGTCTGGGTAGACGGCTTCAGATGCTGGGGGGAGGGATGGGGGCGTCCTGCAGGCCTTGGGTCTTTTTGCAGAGTTGGGGCTCAGCGAGGAGCAAGCGCCTGCCGTCGCCCGCTTTGTTTTCTGTGGGACCTGCTAGGACAGTGAGGCCCCTGGCTCACCAGGGCATGGCTCACCCCCTACAGCTGTCCAGGCCTGCGTCCCAGCTGCCCCTGCTGTGGGGCAGGGAAGGGGCTGGGTGTCGAGGACACAGGCACTTGTACAGATGCCTTTTCTCTGACATTCCTTAACTCCCATGTGTAGCTATACACAGAATGGGATTTTACATATGCTGGACAGAAATAAGAGAATCAAGCCCCGACCAGAAAGGTTCCAGAACTGCAAAGACCTGTTTGATCTGATCCTCACTTGCGAAGAGAGAGTGTATGACCAGGTGGTGGAAGGTGAGGAGGTGGCTGTGCTGGGCTGGGCCCCAGCAGCTCTCACAGGGTCTGGGGATGCCTGCAGGGCCCCACCCTGACCAGCACAGCCCATCTAGAGCGGCGGGGGCGGGGCCAGACCTGTGTGCAAAACACCCTGGGAGGCAGGCAGGGCCGCTGGTCACTGACCACCCGTGTGCTGGCTGCGGCCTTTCATGGGCTTGAGGGGCCTGTTTTTTGTTTGGTGTTTTTTTTGTTTGTTTGTTTGTTTTTTTTTTTTTTGAGGCGGAGTCTCGCTCTGTCTCCCAGCCTGGAGTGCAGTGGCGTGATCTCGGCTCAGTGCAAGCTCCGCCTCCCGGGTTCCCGCCATTCTCCTGCCTCAGCCTCCCGAGTAGCTGGGACTACAGGCGCCGCCACCACCCCCGGCTAATTTTTTTTTTTTTGTATTTTTTTAGTGGAGACGGGGTTTCATTGTGTTAGCCAGGATGGTCTCGATCTCCTGACCTCGTGATCCGCCCGTCTCGGCCTCCCAAAGTGCTGGGATTACAGGCTTGAGCCACCGCGCCCGGCCAGTGTTTTTTTTTTTTTTTTTTTGAGACAGAGTCTTGCTCTGTCACCCAGGCTGGAGTGCAGTGGCGCGATCTCAGCTCACTGCAAGCTCCGCTTCCCGGGTTCAGGTGATTTTCCTGCCTCAGCCTCCTGAATAGCTGGGACTACAGGTGTGAGCCAACACACCCAGCTAATGTTTGTATTTTTAGTAGAGACAGGGTTTCACCATGTTGGCCAGGATGGTCTTGAACTCCTGACCTCAAGTGATCCACCCGCCTTGGCCTCCCAAAGTGCTGGGATCACAGGCGAGAGCCACCGCACGGGGTCCATTTTTCACGTGGGTCGACCCTCGAGCTGGCGTGGAGCAGGAAGGGCTGGTCTTTAATGGCGGGGAAGGGCTGCAATGCCAGCTGCGCTTCACTCCAGGACTGGCTGGTGGGTGGGGAGTCCCAGACCAGCTTTTGCTGAGTTGGAGATTTGCTGAGGTTTCCTCGAACCATCAGCTGCTTTCGGTTTGAGGCTCAGTCTTTGTGCTCCCCAATCTGCAGAGTCCAGAAACCACTGGGGCTGGGCTGGGCCAGGGGCCGGCAGAGCCAGGGACTCAGCCACATTGACTGCCTGTTCCCTGGTTCTGGAGCCTCTGACGTCTGTGTCACCTTGTCCCAATCAGATCTGAATTCCAGAGAACAGGAGACCTGCCAGCCTGTGCACGTGGTCAATGTGGACATCCAGGACAACCACGAGGAGGCCACCCTAGGGGCATTTCTCATCTGTGAGCTCTGCCAGTGTGTGAGTACCCGGTGGGCGCCCTGTGGAGCCGAGGCTGTGACAGAGGGGCGTGGCCGAGGCCGTGACAGGGACGTGGCTGAGGCCGTGACAGAGGGGCGTGGCCGAGGCCGTGACAGGGACGTGGCTGAGGCCGTGACAGAGGGGCGTGGCCGAGGCCGTGAGAGGGGCGTGGCTGAGGCCTTGACAGAGGGGCGTGGCCGAGGCCGTGACAGAGGGGCGTGGCCGAGGCCTGAGGCTGGCCCTGCTGCTTGGGGCGGGGTCTCTGCTCAGCTCGCTTGTGTCAGGGGTGCCCGCTGGTAGTTTAGAGAGAGTCACTCCCCAGCCTTGGCACAGGAGCCCCCCCGCCCATGCCCTCTGCTCAGCGGAGACGTGCTGCGCAGTGACCTGCCCAACACGGGCTTAGTCCGCCTCCCAGGACACAGGCTCCAGGGAACGCCCGGTACTTTGCCTCTTCCCCTTGGTGGACACAGCCCTGCTTCAGCGAGCAGAGCACGGAGCTCTCCTGGGTGTGGTGCGGTCGGAGATGTGCCCCACGTGAGCCTGGAGGCTGCCAAGGGCGCTGTGTCCGCCGTCCACCCCGGACTTGGCCTTCTGCACACCTGCCTTCCCCCGTGGGCCCTGCGTGTCCCCCTTGCACAGAGGGGCCAGGGGCACCCCAAGGCTTCTGTCGCCACCCTGCTGTGGCATGGAGGGGCTGGGCTGAGATGAAAGGACCTGCCTGCGGAGAGCCCCACGCACCGTCCCGCCTCTGCCTCTGTGATCTGTGATTTGATCAACTGTGAAAAACAGGACAGCTTCACCGAGAGCAAACGGTGTTTGGAAAGCCCGGGAGCCAGGCGGGCCGGCGCTGGGAGAAGCTGCCGTGTGGCTGCAGGCGCCTGCGCTCTGCCCACCCAGCGTGGCTTCTGGTCCCCGCATGCCTCCCGGTCCGGCGTGGATGTTGAAGCGCCAGGGATGGTCTTCACGATCGCCTGGCAGGAGAAAAGGCCACGGGGAAAGTCTCGTCCCAGAAGTTGTTGTGTGATTTCCGCTGGGGTCACGTTGGCCAGAGCTGAGTCACAGGCCACTCCCTGCTTAGAGGCACTGGGTGCTGTCCCCGGTTGGGGACCAGGGTCAGTGGAGATGGCGAGTAACGAGCTGCCAGTGCCAGGGCAGGTGTGCTCAGCCAGGGGCTCTGGTGGACGGAGGCCAGGATGCTGCCAGGACGCTCCAGTGACCAGGCTGCCCCCACACAGGGCATGGGTCAGGGTCCTCTCTGGGTCTCTGGGCACCGCACCTTTCCCTGCCCCCGTTTGCTCGTTGGCGGTGCGGGCGCGCTGGTGGTGAGGGCTGGTCGGCCCCGCTGTGCGCGTGCGGGCCCGAGTCCTGGCCTCCAGGTCTCAGTGCTGGCGCCTCTCAGAATCCAGCTCCACGCTCCTCCCAGCTTCAGGTTCTGTGAGGGTCGGTGGGGAGGTGGGGGGCTGCCTCCTGCTCTACACCAGGTGAGGGCCTGGGGCTGCCCAGGAAGCTCTCCCCTTGCAGCCTCCAGCCATCCTTGGGAGGCAGCAGTGGTGGGTGAGGGGCTGCCCGCCACCCTGGTTTTGCTGGCTCAGGCCTGGCGTTTCCCTGGCGGTCCAGGTGTTGAGGGGGAGCAGACAGGCGGGAGTGGGCAAGGCCCTCACCACGGTGCTGTCCTTGCAGATCCAGCACACGGAAGACATGGAGAACGAGATTGACGAGCTGCTGCAGGAGTTTGAGGAGAAGAGTGGCCGCACCTTTCTGCACACCGTCTGCTTCTACTGAGCCCAGCGCCCGCCTGGAGCCGCCTCTGGAGCTTCCTGTTCATACTTTTTCCTTCCTGACATTGGTTTTTACTTACAGGTGTTCCGCTGGTGACGGTAGCATTGCCCAAATAAACTGTGCATATGAAATGGGAGAGGAGATGCCAGAAGGCCAGATTAAAGCAATCAAGTTTTTTCTTTCCCACTTTTACTTATGAGCGGGATATTGATTATAAAGTTTTTCTTCTTTAACCAGAAAGGAAAGACGGTTTGTGTGCACTTCCCGACGTACCTGTGTCTCCATGTGCCTGCCTTCCCTCCCTCCTCCCCACCCGGCTGGACTGTACACAGCCCTGCTGCGGCGTGTTGGGAATGACCTGGAATTGTCAATAAACAGATGCTGCTGTCATTGTGCCTGGTCCTGAATTCCTGACCCGACCTCGCGCCTGAGAAGGTGGCAGAGGCCCTGCCGCCTTCAGTGACCTCCGACCACTGCTAGGGGGTGTAGCTCAAACCTGGTGCTGCTGACAGGGCCTGGGCCAACCCCTGCCTGTGCTGCTTGAAGCAGAAGCCGGCCGCTCCTTCCAGCACTGCTGCCTGTGCAGGGCGGTGTCCCCTCTCCACGTGGAAACCCCCGGGCCGGGATCAGCTGTCCCCCAAGGCCAGCTGAGCCGGGAGGATTGAGGCTGCAGTGAGCCTGGATGGCCCCAGTCCCAGGCTGGGTCCCAGGCATAGCTTCCCGCTGACTTCCTGCTCGAAGGGAGAGGGTGGCTTCCTGGGTCTGAAACATGGTCTCACTAGTTGGGATGAGAGTTTGGCCTCAGGACCCTGAGCCAGGAACGGCCAGAGCTGAGTGGTGGCCACTTGGGGCCCTCTGAAGGGCAGGTGTCCTGACCCATAGGCCTGGGCTGACCCCTCTTCCCTGCCCTAGGGGAAGCCTGTGTGAGGTATCCCTGCCCACAGCTCCTGCGCCGCTTCTCTCCATTGAGGATTCCAGAGGTCATCCCGTCCCTGCCCTGTGACCCCCATCTCTGGCCCCACGGCGGTGAGGTTGTCACGACCTTGCAGACCCCACCCGGGAGGCATGTGCTTTCCAAGCGGGCTGGTGCAGCCCGCAGCCGGCGACCTGGGATTCCAGGAAGGGAGGGCGGCGCAGTGGGGCGGGGAGGGCTCGGCGCCCCTCCAGAACCGGATCGTGTTGGGACTGGCGTCCAGGGTCACTGGACAGGCCACCGGGGCTGGGTCTGACCAGACTGGGGCGGGGCACGAAGCCGAGGTTCCCGGAGAGGGTCCCGGCCGGCGTCCTGGGGGTGGCGGTCCCCTCCCGGCTCCGGTGCTGGCACGGGCGGCCTGCGGGCTGCGCGGTCCCTCCCGGGAGGCGGAGGAAGGCGGCGAGGAGGGAGGAGGGAGGAGGAGGCAGGGAGGGGCCGGAGCGAGCAGAGCCGAGCCGAGCCGAGCCGAGCGGAGCGCGGGAGGACCCGAGGGCGGAGCGGAGCGCGGCGGGCAGGGCCGAGCGACCCCAGAGAGGCCCCGCGTCCCTCCTCGGTGCCCCCCCCGCGCCTCCTCCTCCCGGCCGGCGCGGGGTTGCCGCGAGCGGCGGCGGAAGACCCAGGGAAGCGCTGACCTCTGCGGAGGCGGCGGGGGCTCAGCATCGGGCCGGGGCCGGGGGGGCGCCGGGGCCGGGGGGGCGGCGCTCCCGGCCCGGCCCGGCCCCGCCCGATGTCCATGAGCGCGAACACCATGATCTTCATGATTCTGGGGGCGTCGGTCGTGATGGTGAGCGGAGGGGCTTCCCGCGCGCGCCCCCTGCTCCCCGCCCGCGCGCGCCGCCTGCCCCCACCTCCTGCTCCTTGTTTTACCGCCCGTGCGGCCTGCGCTCCCCTCCCGGCCTGCGCTCCCCCGAACCCGACCTGCGCTCCCCTCCCCAGCCTGCGATCCCCACACCCCCTGCGCTCCCTCCCCGGCCTGCGCTCCCCCCACCCCGGCCTGCGCTCCCCCCACCCCGGCCCTGCGCTTCCCCCTTCCCGGCCTGCGCTTCCCCTCCCGGGCCTGCGCTCCCCCAAACCCGGCCTGCGCTCCCCTCCCCAGCCTACGCTCCCCTCACCCCGGCCTGCGCTCTGGCTCCCCGCCTGCGCTGCCCCGACCCCGGCCTGCGCTGCCCCCACCTGCCTGCGCTCCCCACCCCCAGCCCCCGTTCGTCCCGCCTGCTCCTTGGCGCTGACCGGTCATGGGCTCTTCCAGGCCATCGCGTGCTTGATGGACATGAACGCGCTGCTGGACCGATTCCACAACTACATCCTCCCGCACCTGCGGGGCGAGGACCGCGTCTGCCACTGCAACTGTGGCCGGTGAGTCCGCAACCGGCGCCGGCTCGACACGCGTGAGCGCACATGTGTGCGGGGCCCACTCGGGGCGCGGGGGAGCCAGCCCCACGCAGGCCGCGATCCGCCTTCCACCCTTGAGGGCTGCCAGGTGCGCAGGGGGAGGAGCTGGCTCAAGGAGGGGGTCTCCTGGGGGCGCATGGCTTGAGGACACCATCCCCTAGAGGCCTCCAGGGTGATGGCGGAATGGGTCACGGGCCTCCTGGTCCAGCCTGGAGGCCGGGAAGCCGCAGCCCAGTCTGATGTCCACAGTGGAGACCCAAGCCAGCCTCATCAGGGCTGGGGCAGGAAGCGCCTGCTGGCACAGGGCTGGGCCCTGCAGTGAGTCCCAGGGCAAGGGAATGCAGGTCAAGGTGGGAAGGGCCTGCCTTGAGGGATACTGGGCACAACCCCCTGGCTGGAGAGGAGCTGAGGGGACGGGGCTGGGGGTCAGCGGGGAGGCGAAGCTTCCTCAAGGTCACTGAGATTGAGGGGAGCGGCCCAGATCCCCCACACCCACTGTGTGATCCCCTCTGTGCACGTGTAGTGATGGAATCTTCTTGGCCATGCATGTTTGTACGTCCATGTACGAAATAAACATCTTCTCATGAGACGCGCATGTGTGTGGCGTCTGTGCATATATACATGTGCGTACACACAGCGCCCGCGCACGCACGCATGCACTCCCATCCCTCAGGACACCCTCACGCAGTGGCCGCTGTTAACCCTGCTGGACAGATGAGGAAGTGGACGGAGGATTTAGAGGACAGGCTTTTCCAAGGTCACACAGCTAGTGAAGGACAAAGGGGCACCAACCCAGAACCCGTGTTCGTCATCTCTGCTGCCTCCTGCTCCGGGGGTCTCTGTGCATACGTGTGGGCGCAGGGCATGTGTGTTCAGGACAGCTGCATGTGTTGCTAAGCGTGTTACATGCCTATGGGTGCAGCAGGTGTGTTGATGAAGAACACGGGTGTTAGAGAAGGCAGAGATCGGGGTGTCTGTGACCCTCACGTGTGCCGGGCACAGGGTGGGGGGTAAGAGCTTGTGGGGTGGCCACGTGCTACCAGGGAGCCCTGTGTCCCTGTCTGGACGGTCCGACTGCTGAGCAAAGGCCTGAGGTTGGCTCCATGGCCTCCTGGAGGCTGGGCCCAGGACCGGAGCTCCAGGGCATCAGAAGGGGCGGCCTCCGTGTGCGTGGGCTGGGGCCGGTGTGCATCCACCTGTGGCAGCACACCTGAGGGAGAGGGCGCCTTAGAGCATTTGCACAAGGCGTGTAGGTGCAGCTCATGCAGCTCATGTCGTGTCCAGAGCACGCGTGACCTCAGGTGGAGTGCGTGCTGAAGGCAGCTGGTGTGTGGGAAGCAGAGCCACAGCCTGCTGTAGACGGTACTGGCTGTGTGTGTGTCTGTGTATCTATGCTCTGTTCACATCTCTACATACAGAATAATGTACATTCAGCGTACAAAGTGCCCTTGTATATTGACAAACATATATGTGTATGCCAAAGTACATGTATGTCACAATATACAGTGCAGTGTGCTCAGGGACAATGTCAAAATGTCTCCATGTGGGTGCAGCCAGTGTGGTGTGCAGACAAACCGTTTTGCACATGGAGTAATCTGCGTATACACCATGTCCATGCACTGGCCATGAGAGGCTCCCCGTGTGTACACGCTGGTGTGCAGAACGGGTGTGTGTACATGTGTAGGCCTTGTACGTGCCTATACGTAGACGTTGACATGGAGAACGTGTATGGAAATCAATGCTCCAAAGTCCTGTGCCAGGCAGCGTCCAAATGAACATCCGTCCATGCACGTGACGTGGCGCCCCGGGGAGAGGGCGGCTGCGTTTTGCAAAGCCAGCGACATGCACTCGCGTGTGACACACCGTGCACAGGGCGGGGTGTGGAGCTCCCTGGGTCCATGTCCACATATCACGCCATGTCCCTGTGCATGTGGCTGGTGTGTAATACATGACGTACATTGGGCCTCAGGTGGACACATGCAGCATGTGTGGTGCAAGGCAGGACACACGTATGTACATGTCACAGACATACGTGTGCAGATAGCACATCTCTGCCCAGGCCTGTCTCCTGCTTTCACTTGGGAGACCTGAGCCCCCCAGGAGGGAGGGCCAGGTGCAGGGGGAGAAACTACAGGTACCCAGGACAGCCATGGCGGGGGACACAGGCTGTGACCTCTGACTCCCAAAGTTACTGAGCCCCTGGGGTGGGTGAGGACTCAATCAGGGGTCAGGAACAGCTTCCCTCCCCTGCGGGCCTCTGGCAGCCGCCATTCTAGGCAGTGGCCAATCAGCTGCCCATCGAGGATGATGGCTGTGGACAGGCTCGTCACCAGGTGATTGGTGGCCACCAGGGATCAGCCACGGTCCATGGGTCACTCCTCACCGAGACCCTGCCACTGGGAAGTGGCCAGTTGCCCGATATGCTGAGGGGACTGACCTCCGGGAAGCCCAGAAGAGCAGGAAGGCTTCAAGGAGAGCCTGGGGCAAGGGCCGCCTCCTCCCTGTGCCCTGGGCTCAGGCTCCAGGACCCCCAGATCTCACGGAGGGAGGCACCTGTGTGGCCCCTGCTGGGCACAGGGATGGCCTGGAGTGGGCTACAAGGCCCTGGGTTGGACGGATAGGCCGGGCTTTCAGTGTGGGAAGTGCTTCTGGTTGGGGTGTGGAGCGTGGGGTGGTCTCTGGGTCTCAGCTGAAAACCAGGCCAAGGCACTGCACTCACGGAGGGGAGGGTGGGGGAGAGGCAGGTTTGGGGAGAGAGGAGCTATTTTTAGGCACAAGTTTAAGGTGTCTGTGGATCCCACGTGGAGACACAGGCAGCTGGAGCTCAGCGGAGATGTGGGAGGCAGCCAGGAGTGTGGGACCGCAAGGCGCCTGGGGCCCACGGCCTCCACTCCCAGGCCCTCGTGTTGGCCTAGGGATCCCAGAGTCGGCTGTCCTGGGATGCCAGTCCGATCAGCAGAGTCAGCCCACCTGGGATCATGGGGCCTGGAACCTTCTTGGGACAGGGTGAGCTGCTGGAGCGCGCTCCTTGGGGAGCTTGTGTGGCCCCAGCAGCGAGAGGCCAGAAGCTGTTGTGGCCTGAGCTTGGGCAGTCCCCCAAGGGCCCAGGGAGAGGAGGCCAAGGGACACCGAGGTGCCCCAGGCATTGAGGACGAAAGGGCCCTGGAGCCTGGACGCCATCCATCCTGGGAGGAGCAGGGCGAGTCTGTGCCAGGCAAGGGCAAGGGGGTGCTCCCCAGGAAGGGGAGAGGATGGGGTGCTGGGTAGAGCCCCCGTGACCTCTGACAGCACCTCCCAGGGACAGAGGAGCAGAAGAAACACCAGGGGCAGTGGGCCTGGCAGGCGGGCTGGCGGCCGTGGAGGAAAGGGCACGGCAGGCGGGGAAGGGTGCATGGAAGTGGCCGGTCCGGGGCCAGCAGGGCTCCCTGTGTCCCGGTCTGCTCCAAGTGGCCTCCGCGGCCCTGGGGCGGGCAGATGAGCTGTGACCCCTGGCCGTGGGGACCACCATCCTGAGGCCCCCTCTGGGGGAGACTCTTCCACCCCAGCACCTTCCCGTGAGCTCCAGGACTCAGGGAGGGGTGCTGAGGGAGGGCTCCCACCCTCGCCAGCAGCCGGTCCCGCCGGTCTGCCTGGACTTCGCGCTCAGCCTCCACGGCCCATGGCCGCTGACCTCCGCTCCCTCTGGGCCTGTGACCTGGCCTGCCTGAGTCCGGTGCCCCCTTCCCGACCCGCCCACCCAGGAGGCTGCTTCAGAGAACCCCCAGGGTGGCAGCCACACCCCCACCACGGGCTAGGCCCCCTGGGGGAAGGCCAGGCCAGGGGCGGCGGGAGAGGTGCCAGCCCGCCCTGCCGCCCCCAGGCACCACATCCACTACGTGATCCCGTACGACGGGGACCAGTCGGTGGTGGACGCCTCCAGAACTACTTTGTGACGGACAATGTGACCAAGCAGGAGATCGACCTCATGCTGGGGCTGCTGCTGGGCTTTTGCATCAGCTGGTTCCTGGTGTGGATGGACGGCGTCCTGCACTGCGCCGTGCGCGCCTGGAGGGCCGGACGCGCCACGGTGAGTGCCTCGCGCCCGCCGCCCGGGAACGCCACCATCCTGGCCGGCCCCAGCCGCCTGACCGCCCCTGTCCCCCTGCAGATGGCTCGTGGACCTGGCTGCCCAAGCTGTGGCAGCCTGCGGGAGCTGGGCCGGCGGCCGCAACAGGCCCTTTGAGGAGGCCGCCGGGAACATGGTGCCACGTGAAGCAGAAAACTCTACCACAACGGCCACCCCAGCCCGCGGCACCTGTGAGCCGCGCAGGGACTTGCCGGGCCGCCCAGCCGACCGCTGCTGTACAGATGCAAAAGGGACCTCGTGGACGCCCCGGGCCGGTGGGACTGGACAGCAGCCCTGGGCCAGGTTGTCTGGGGCTGTGGCCGGCCGGGAGAGTCCAGCGGAAGGTGCTGTCTCCTCTTCTTTTTATAAAGGGGGTTGGGGTGGTGGGCTAGGGTGGGGGCTGGGGTGGGAGAGGCCCTGCAGTTAGGGGGCAGGACCCTGGGCTCCTGGCTGGGCAGGACACGAGGGCAGACTCAGCCCCAGCGGTGCTGGGGGGGCCCAGAGGGTCCTGGGGGGCAGGTGGGGGCAGGGGGGCGAGGCACGTGGGCCCGGCCAGCAATCTGTTTGAAAACCGGCTGTTTCCCGTGCACTGCGTCTACCATCTGTCTGGCCGCCGCCAGCTCGGGCAGAGGGGAGGGAAGCGAGGGGGGCACCCGTCTGTACACAGCCGTAGGTGGGGCGCAGGCGGCTGGTCCCAGGCAGCATTCAGACCCCGGCCCAGCCATGGCGGGCACCTCATGTGAAGCCCACCCCTCTGTGGTCAGTAAATTCTCCAGAAAGCTCCAGTCTCTGCCTCTTCTGTCACCTTTGACCCCAGGAGAACGCTAGGGGGCCCCGAAACCCCGCCCCGCGTCAGCCAAGAGACAGACACAGCGGTGAGGCACCTGTGGGACTTTATTAGGTAAACAGACCCCAGCTCCAGCCACAGGCTTGGACCGGCCAGCTGAGAGTGGCCTCAGACGCCCGGCCAGATTCCCTCCTCCCGGCCACAGCCTGGGCTTTCTCGGGGCCACCATTGCGCATAGGGCCGGGGTGTGCCGCCTGCAGTGGGAAGCAGGCTTCAGGCCGCCCCACCTCGGTCTGGTCCCGGCAGGCCCCCAACACCCGGCTCTGCTGTGGGAGCCGAGAAGAGACACCACCGCCCCTCTCCTGCTGCCCTGGGGGCTCAGCCGGCACCCACCCTCCCGTGGCCTGGGCAGGGGCTGGGGTGTGAAGCCTCCCCTCCCGCTCTGAGTCACATGGAAAATGCGTCTCCCAAGTGTCTTAAGGGGCAGGAAGGAGGCCTGCCCCTCCCTAGCCAGTGCCCACAACAGGGGGTGTCCTGGGGGGCAGAACGGCCGACCCCCACCACAAGCTAACTGGCACAGAGGCCCTGGGCACAGCCCTTCCCCATCCAGGAATATTTCCTAAATGTGCAGGGGCCGGAAGTTGGGGGTGGGAGGGGTCCGCTGACGCTCCGTGAGGTGTGGGTCTCGCTGTGGACTCAGGATGGGGAGGGCTCGTCCCCGCGCCCAGGCCCTTCTGACTTCAGCCAGCACATCTTCTGCTGGTGCTGCTGGACAGCATCTTGCACACAGGCGTCCATCATGGCCTCGGTGAGGACCCCGTCCTCGGAGGCATACGCCGTGGCCTAGTGAGGAGAGAGGGAGCTGAGGGAGGCCGCATGGGAACCCCCCACCCCCAATGCACACCAGGGCCCCGAGGTGGGGAGGGGCCAAACCAGGGGCACCAGAACGGCCTCAGGGTGAAACACAGGCTTCCCGCACCTCAGCAGAGCCCAGCATGCGTGTGGGCACCGGGAGCGACCCCTGCAGTGCCACAGCCCTGCCTGCGTCCTCAGCACTGCTGTTTCTCGATGACTTTCTAATAATAGAAAGCCGAAGGCCAAGCCCCACTGACAGCTGACCGAGGGCAGCTCCCAAGAGGCCGGGGAATTGCAGACCCTCTGTGTGTCTCAGCCGTGGCCAGGCAGCATCCCCGAGTGGCACTGCACCTCAGACCCTCAGACCCTGACCCTCACCGGCCGCCAGGGCAGAGGCAGCCACTGCCCACCTCAGGGCACCAAGGCCAGCCCTGCCCCCACCTCCCTGTCCTCCTGGCACAGGGCTTGGCATCCAGCACACAGAGGCTGGAGCTGCTGGGACTGGGGCCCTTGGTGTTGCTTCAGGCAGCCTGAGGTCCAGCCCTTCTGCCATGGACAGGTCACTCTGCATCCCAGTGCCAGTGAAAGGTGTGGAGTCCCCAAGGGGAGGCACCTGTGGGTCAGGGTCTGGGCATGGGGACGCCCACTGGGCACCGTGCTCGGGAGTGCACCAGGACAGCTAGAGGAAGCACAGGGCAGGGGACGCTTCCCGGACAGCTGAGTGGGTCCCTAACCCCATCCTGGCTGTGCCTCCCAGAGGCAGGATTCATCTCACAGGGTAAAGGGGCAGCAGCACACCATTCTCCCACAACATGGCTGCCACGACGGGACCTTCCATGGGGATGACCACATGGTGCCCGTCCCCACTGGCAGCGCCCACCCCTCGCCAAGAGCCACTGTGTGGGGAGACACTGACTGGAGCTGGACCACCACTGTGCGTCAGGGGCCCAGGACTGCTCAACATTTTTGGTCTTGAGCCCACCCAAGAGAGTTCAAACAGGTGCAGGAACCCTTAGGGTGCACCCGAGTGGCTGCACCTCACCCAGGGCCCAGTGGAGGAAAGGGGATGAGCAGATGCTCACAGGGCCACCCCACCAGGAAGCACGGGACCTGGCAGAGCCCACCAGAAGTGACAGCGAAATGTCACGTGGCCTCCTGGGTGGGATTCTGGGGCAAGACCCAGTCCCAGGTAGGGCCAACAGTGACACATGACATTCACCACATGGCAAGGCCCCGGGCCTGGGAGCTCTCTGTGCTACCCTTGCAACTTTTGTGGGAACCTAAAATCTTCAAACTATAAAAGGTCAAAGACAAGACCTGGACCTGATGTCTTCATGTGTGAATTCACAAAACATGAAGAATCAGCAGCACTCCTCAAACTCTGGGACAAATTGAAGAACATTTCTCACTCATCCTAGGAGGCCAGCATTACCCTGATATCAAACCCAGACAAAGACATCACAAGAAAAATGACAGGCCAATATCCCTGATGAGCATCACTGGCAAAGTCCTCAAGAAAATGCCAGCAGAATGAATTCAGCAGTATAGTTAAAGGACTCTACACCACGAAGAAGCAGGATTTATTCCTGGAATGCAAGGATAGTTCAACATAGGAAAATCAGTCAACGTTCCACATACTAAATGTTTATACAAAAATCAACTGATATTAGCAGAGTGGAGGAAAGAAACCACATGACCATCTCATCTGATCTAGGAAAAGCATTCGACCAAATTCAACACCCTTTTATGAGAAAAACATTCAAGAGGCTGTGTGCGGTGGCTCACACCTGTAATCCCAGCACTTTGAGACGACAAAGGGGGTAGATCACCTGAAGTCAAGGAGATCCACTGCCTTGGCCTCCCAAAGTGCTGTGATTACAGGTGTGAGCCACTGCACCCAACCCAAATTATTATTTTATTTATCTATTTATTTATGTTTGAGACAGAGTCTCGCTCTGTTGCCCATGCTGGAGTGCAGTGGCGCAATCTCGGCCCGCTGCAAGCTCTGCCTCCTGGTTCATGCCATTCTCCTGCCTCAGCCTCCCAAGTAGCTGGGACTACAGGCACCCGCCACCAGGCCGGTTAATTTTTTTTTTTTTGTATTTTTTAGCAGAGACAGCGTTTCACTGCGTGAGCCAGGATGGTCTCGATCAACTAACCTCATGATCTGCCTGCCTCGGCCTCCCAAAGTGCTGGGATTACAGGTGTGAGCCACTGCACTGGGCCAGCCCAAATTATTATTAGTTTTAGTTTTAGTTTTTTGAGATGGAGTCTCACTCTGTTGCCAGGCTGGAGTGCAGTGGCGTGATCTCGGCTCACTGCAACCTCTGCCTCCTGGGTTCAAGCAATTCTCCTGCCTCATCCTCCAAAGTAGCTGGGATTACAGGCATGCGCCACAACACCCAGCTAATTTTTATAAAAAGTAGAGATGGGGTTTCACCATTTGCCCAGATGGTCTCCATCTCTTAACCTTGTGATCCGCCCGCCTCGGCCTCCCAAAGTGCTAGGATTACAGCTATGAGCCACTACACCCGGCTTATTACTATTTTTTTCAGATGGAGTCTCACTCTGTCACTCAGGCTGGAGGACAGTGGCACCATCTCGGCTCACCACATCCTCTGCCTCCTGGATTCAAGAGATTCTCGGCCGGGCGCGGTGGCTCAAGCCTGTAATCCCAGCACTTTGGGAGGCCGAGACGGGCGGATCACGAGGTCAGGAGATCGAGACCATCCTGGCTAACACGGTGAAACCCCGTCTCCACTAAAAATACAAAAAAATTAGCCGGGCGCGGTGGCGGCGCCTGTAGTCCTAGCTACTCGGGAGGCTGAGGCAGGAGAATGGCGGGAACCCGGGAGGCGGAGCTTGCAGTGAGCCGAGATCGCGCCACTGCACTCCAGCCTGGGCGACAGAGCGAGACTCCGCCTCAAAAAAAAAAAAAAAAAAAAGAGATTCTCCTGGCTCAGCCTCCTAAGTAGCTGGGACTACAGGCATGTGCCACCAACATGCCCGGGTAATTTTTGCATTTCTAGTAGAGGTGAGGTTGGCCATGTTGGCCAGGCTGGTCTTGAACTCCTGGCCTCAGGTGATCCTCTTGCCTCAGCCTCCCAATGTGCTGGGATTACAGGCATGAGCCACTGTGCCTGGCCCAAATTATTCTTATTTTTTAAGACAGGGTCTCGCTCTGTTGCCTAGGCTGGAGTGCAGTGGCACAATCACAGCTCACTGCAGCCTCAACCTCCTGGACTCAAGTGATCCTCCCACCTCAGCCTCCCAAGCAGCTGGCATTACAGGCATGCACTACCAGGTCTGGCTAATTTTTTCATTTTTTGTAAAATTTCCAGGCTGGTCCTGAACTCCTGGCTTCAAATAATCTGGCTGACTTGACCTCCCCAAATGCTGTGAATACAAGTGTCAGCCACCACCACGCCCGGCCTCTGCTTTCTTAGTTGTGGAAATAAGACCTGGTCTCAAGTGGGGATGGCCTGGAACAGAGACCTCAGCTGACCCACAAGGATGGGGTTTGAGATCTGGGGCTCTTTGTCACAGCGGCATAACCCAGCCTGTACTGACTAATACAGCCCCTATAGACCCCGGCTGCAATGTTTAAATCAAGGTAGTTGGCTACTTCATTAATCTGACACACATTCATTCAAAAGCGCTGCTAGGTTGAGTGACCAGGTTGTCACACAGACTCTGCAGACCCCAGAGGCGGCGATGCCTGTGTGTGGCCACTGCGCGTTCGGCCCCACAGACCTGGTTTTGCTTTTCCAGCAACCTCCAAAGACCAAAGCTTTCCGGATGGCCACGCCCACACTGCTCTGAGTCCCGGCTCCCCGTCCCTGCAGCAGCCACGGAGCTGCAGGACGGGGGCCTCCAAGGAACAACTGGCTGTGGGACAATCAGAGGCCACTCCCACCTGTGTGTCAAGGAGGACCAAGCCCAGGGATTTGGTCCAGAAAACACGACGTCCCTCCATCCCGACCCCCGACTCACACAGGGCCTGTCCTGACCAGCATTTACACCAGGAGGTGCCTGTTGGCCAAGGTGAGAGTCCAAAGCCTCCCGCCCCAGCCGGCAGAGCGCAGGCTACTGCAACGCTGGATGGGCTTCCAAAGAGCCCCGTGTGACCGTCAGCCACCAAAATGGGCCCCCCTTCCTGAGGGCATGAGCAGGTGGGCGCCACCATGTGGAGTGGCCCAACGGGGGTGGGTGCCCGTGTCATGTCTGTGCACAGAAAACCCCTCAACAGAAGCTCCCGCGTGACACTGGTGCTGGGACAGGCGCAACCGGCCGTCTCCACAGCAGTTGGGCTCCCGTCTGGGTGGGTGAGCCCGAGCCTGACTCACCTGCCAGGACACAGCCAGCTGAGCGATCTCCCGGCCCGACATGCCCTCCGTCAGCCGAGCGATCTCCGAACACTTCCTCCCGTAGTCAAACTGGGCCAACTTCAGACGCCTGGGGAAGGAGTTCCCAAGTGGGCCGGCCACGGCAGCGGCTCCCACACCACGAGGTGGGGACTGGAAGACACGCCGCCAGGCGGGCACCCATGCCAGATGTCCCCTTGGGAGGGGACCTCTCCCTGTGACAGCCCAGCTCTGCACCATCTGTCTGCTGCAGGCCAGGCCCAGACTGAGCAGGAAGAGAGCGGCTACAGGGCCTAGAGATGGCCCCAACCACTCCTCACAGCAGCCCTGCCCACAGCTGCTCACACAGCACCCGCAGGACGCATAGCCTTTACGCTGGCAGTGGCGAGCCCTGACTTCTAGAAAAGCATCTGCCTGAAGGCCACAGACGCCAAGTCATGGTGCCAGGGCTATGAGCAGCCATGGGGGCGGGGGGAGCCCAGGGCAGGGGAGGGCATAGGGAAACAGGCCCAGACAGCTGGGCTGGCACGGAGCAGGTGGCAGCGGCAACCAGGCTTTCTTTCGTCGTCACTGGCGACAGCAGGGATTTAGGTCAGGTGCACAGAAGGACTCAGAAACCAGGGCCCTGGGGACGCCAAGAAGTGGAGCGGCCTCTGTTCATCTGGAGTGTTCCTGAGGCAGCCGGCGTGTGGCCCCAGGGCCCCTCATCACCTGGAGGGCTCTGCCCACCGTGCCTGCTGCACCCACCGCCAGCGACAGGGAGCTTGATAGCCTCAAGGCACAAGTGCAGCCAGAGCTGCGCCCCACACCATGAGGCTCCAGGGCCAGCGTGGCAGGTGGAGGAAGGCCAGGCCAGCAGCCAGCAGTGGACCATGAGGAGCCTCTCCCTCCAATCCCGACATGGGGGTCTCAGAGCAACATTCCACGTCACCTCCCATCGGGGTGGCTGGGCACAGGATTTCCTTACAGCCTTCCGTGGAGTGAAGAGGAATGGAAAAGAGGCCGGGCATGGTAGCTCACATCTGTAATCCCTGCACTTTGGGAGGCTGAGGAGGGTGAATCACTTGAGGTAAGGAGTTCGAGACCAGCCTGGCCAATATCATAAAACCCCGTTTCACGATACTAAAAATAAAAAAAAAATTTAGCCAGGCATGGTGGTGGGTGACTGTAATCTGAGCTACTCAGGAGGCTGAGGCAAAAGGACTGTTTGAACCCGGGAAACAGAGGTTGCAGTGAACTGAGATCATGCCACTGCACTCCAGCCTGGGGGACAAGAACGAGACTCCATCTCAAAAAAAACAAAAAAAGGAATGTTGAAGGTTTGTAAGTGATGGTGGACTCTGCCCCCAAACCCAAGGAGATACCACCAGGCTGTTCTCAGGTGGTGATGAAGAAAGGGGGGCGGGACCTCCCTGGATGTGGCCTCTGGGACCCTTGGGGCCCACAGTCTCCTGTTCGAAACTACAGGACAGGGAGGTGGTGCCCACCCCTGTGACGGGGCCTGCTGGGAGCGTCTGGAGAGCAGGGGCGGGGTGGGCCCTGAGCGAGGGTCCCTGGACAGGGGCGGGTGAGGCGGGACACTTACTGCTTTCCTTCTGTGGCCGGCTTAAGAACATACTTGTCAAAATACATTCTCACCAGGCGCTCCCGCTCCTCCAGCCGCGGCAGGTCGAAGTGAACCATCACGTCAATGCGGTCGTTGATGGCCCAGTCGAACTGCTCGGGCTGGTTGCTGGCCAGGACCAGCATGAACCTGCGGGGCGGGGATGAGGATGCTGGGGCTGGTGGCCGAGCTGCGCTGAGGGAAACGGGGCCGCCTCAGCCCCCACAGGAAGCATCTAAAGCAGCAAGAAACATGAGGACGCGGGCACAGCCCTGGTCGGCCGCCTGCCCCACCGTACCCAGCTGTCCCTCCGCCCGGCTTCCTGGGCCTCTGTTCTTGCCCCATATGGTGCTTCCCTGCTGACCCTTGCCAAGCCTGATAGGCAGCACCGGGACCACCACTCCTCCTGCTGCCTGAGCCCCGCCATGCTGGGAGCAGGGATGCAGGACCCAGAGTCTGTGTCAGGAGTGGCCACATGAGCCAGGACCAGGACCTCAGGGGCTCGGGTGCAGCGGAGGCTCAGCAGGGTCCCAGCCCTGCCTCTCTGGGAAGGACCTGAGCCAGGGCTCCAGGGAGCGTGTACCGGCAGCAGCTGAGCCAGGGAGCCCAACACGCCTGAGGAGTCGGCCACGGCCAACTGGTAGGACTTGATCCTCCGTGTGACACGTGACTGGGGCTGGAGGGGCCCAGGAGACTAAAAAACTCAAACGTAGGGGATTTGGAAGGAAGTAGGGAGCCTGCCGTGGGGCGATCACCATACTGGGGACCTCAGGGCAGCAGCTCACGGAGGACGCACAATGTGCGGAGGCCCCCAGGCCTGGAGGGTGCACCCCTGTCCAACATCCGGGCAGGGGTCCAAGGCCCCAGGCTCCGCCCAAACACACAGGACCTGCTCGTGCCCAGCTTCCCGTGGGAGCAACCGTGTCTCCATCTCCCACCCCAGGGCACCCACACCCTCCAAGGGAGACCCAGCAGAGCCTCAGACCATCAGACAGCCTCCCTTGCAGGCACAGGACCGCGGAAACCCAGGGGCAGAGGGACCTGAAAGCTGGGGCGGCATCGCACAGGGCCGTGAGGACGGGACTGACCCCGGCTCTGCCCAGGAGGCCCCCGCATGTTCCTGAGTAACGCCCCATGATGTCCCGAGCTGGGCCGTTCCCAGGGGACATCCGAGGTGGACACGCTGAGGCCACGGGTGCTGCCCAGCACTGTGATCCAGGGCCCCTGAGGTCCCTCGGTGGGAACCAAGGGCGACGGCTGCACAGCCCTACCCGGGGGCCTAGGACGCTCCCTCACTTGTTGCTGTGCTGGCCCGTGCGGTACAGGAAGGCGTTCAGTGTGGCCCGCAGGTCCTCGCTTATCTTCTCCTACAGAGAAGGTTCTAGCTTTAGACACCAGGAGCAAAGCCTTGTAAACAGCCACAGCAGAAGCTCCCACAGCCCTCCCTCCTGCAGGGAGCAGGGACGCGGCGACACTTTCATGGATCTAAACTCAAAAGCCTGACCAGGGCCAGGGGCGGTGGCTCATGCACATAACCTAGCATTTGGGGAGGCTGAGGAGGGCAGATCACCTGAGGTAGGGAGTTTGAGGCCATCCTGGCCAACATGATGAGACCCCGTCTACACTAAAAGTACAAAAATTAGCCAGGGTAGTGGCACACCTGTAGTCCCAGCTACGTGGGAGGCTGAAGCAGGAGAATCACTTCAACCTGGGAGGCAGAGGTTGCAGCGAGCCGAAATTGCACCGCTGCACTCCAGCATGGGCGACAGAGTGAGACTCTGTCTCAAAAACAAAAACAAAACAAAAACAAAAAAAACCCTGACTGGGCATGGGGGCTCACATCTGTAATCCCAGAACCTCAGAAGGTCAAGGCGGGAGCATCTCTTATAGCCCAGCCTGGGTAATGAGGGGAACCTGGGAGGCAGAGGTTGCAGCGAGCTGAAATTGCACCGCTGCACTCCAGCATGGGAGACAGAGTGAGACTCTGGGAAAAAAAAAAAAAAAAAGCCTGACTGGGCGTGGGGACTCACATATGTAATACCTGCACTTGAGAACGTCAAGGCGGGCAAACCTCTTTAGCTCAGAAGTTCGAGCCCAGTCTGGACAACGTGAGGAAACTCCATCTCTACTAACATTACAAAAAAATTAGCCGGGCATGGCACTGTGCCCCTGCAGTCCTGCCTACGCGGGCAGCTGAGGCAGGAGGACAGCTTGAGCTCGAGAGGTCGAGGCTACAGTGAACTGTGATCACGCCACTGCACTCCAGCCTGGGCGACTGAGACCCTGTCTTAAAATGATAATTAAAAGGCTGGGCGTGGTGGATCACGCATGCAATCCCAGTATTTTGGGAGGCTGAGGCGGGAGGATCATTTGAGATCAGGAGTTTTTGACCAGCCTGACCAACATGGTGAAACCCCATCTCTATTAAAAATACAAAAAAAACGTAACTGGGTATGGTGGCAAAAGCATGTAATCCCAGCTATTTAGGGGGCTGAGGCAGGAGACTAGCTTGAATCCAGGAAGTGGAGGTTGCAGTGAGCCAAGATTGCGCCACTGCAAGCCAGCTTAAGCCATAGAGCGAGACTTCCTCTCAAATAAATAAAAATAAAAAGAGACCAGGGCATCCGGGTGTGGTGGCTCACGCCTGTATCCCAGGACTTTTGGAGGCCAAGGAGGGCGGATCACCTGAGGTCAGGAGTTCGAGACCAGCCTGGCCAACATGATGAAACCCCGTTTCTACTAAAAATAGAAATACTGTCTGGACATGGTGGTGGGCACCTGTAATCCAAGCTACTTGGGAGGCTGAGACAGAAGAATCGCTTGAACCCAGGAGTTGGAGGCTGCAGTGAGCTGACATTATACCCTTGCACTCCAGCCTGGCTACAGAGAGAGATTCCATCTCAAAAACCAAAACAAAAAAACCCTCAAAGCCATAACTTAACTTCCAGCTGACCTAAAAAATGCCGTTTTTCACACAAAACTTAGAGAGAAAAAGACTTTGATAAGAGGGCTGCAGCCTGGCCCAGGGAGACGGCTGTGTCCACTCCACCACCCCCGTGGTCAGACAGAGGCTTAGTGACACTCACGGTGGCTCGCTTCCGAAGGAAGGCGTCTGCTTCATCCACGAAGAGCAGGAGGCTGTGAACGAGAGGGAGGCCAAGCATGGCGAGAGTGACACCTGGAGTGGCCCACAGCAGCGTCCGGCTGTGGCGGGAGCAGGCCGAGCGGGCAGATCCCCAAGGGGTGCAGCCTCTGCCCCATCAGGAGCCCTAAGTCCTGGATCTGACAGAAGCCCATCAGCCTGGCCTCTGGGCAGCTGACCACAGCCCAGTCTCACAAGGCGCCGGAAAGCCAACGGCACACCAGACTCTGCCCTGCAGGCTTCACCCCCACCCGGCCCAGTGCAGCGCTGGTGGCCGCTCAGAGTCCACACCAGGGGCAGGATCTTCTAAAGTGGGAGGGTGCCAGCCATGAGGAATGTGGTGCCAATGTGGACAGCTGAGGTCCCAAGGGTGCCCAGGCTGTGCCCTGCGCGGGGTCACTGTGGGACCTATCGAAGGGTGTGTGCCATGCTGTCTTCGGCTGACTTCCAAATGGTTCTACCAAAAGGAACTGGTGCCCACGCCCACCTGCACGCGTGTCGGAGGGAGGGCGGCCGTGGAGGAGGCGCCCCTGCAGCTGTGAAGACCCCTCACCCCCTACACCCACCCACCTCCCTTCTGCCCTGAGCCAAGTATCCCACTGGCAGCCTCCAAACACTGGGGGCCTCGTGTCCACCAGGGTCCACACTCAGGGGACCTTCCTCCGAGGGACCCTCCGCCCGGCCTCCTGCGTGGCCACAAGGACAGAGCTGCAGAAAGACCACGAGGTCCCGGAAAGCCACCTGGACCCCCTTCCCCGAAGGCAGCCTGCTGGGCCGCAGTGAAGGGCCTGTGTGCATGCTGTGGGGACGTCTCACCCGCGCCGGCTGGTATTGGCCCAGTCAAACAGCTTGTGCATGGCGGTCACGCCTTCCCGCCCCATGGGGGCCACGTCCCCGCCTGTCATGATGGCGTAGTCCATGCCTGAGTGCACGGCGAGTTTCTAGACAGGAAGAGTGAGGGGAGTCAGAACAGATGTTCCATCTGCCTCGGCAAAGCCTGCACACTCCACCCAGAGTGTGGAGCCCCTGTCGGGCGTCCCTGCCTGGAAGCCACAGCCTGGAAGCCACAGCCTGCCAAACAGGAGACGTCCCCTGCTGGAAGATGGGAGGCGCTGTTGCCCACACCAACACCCTGAACCTACATGAGAGCGGACAAAGGCCTAAGGGAAGTCCACTCCCCAGGCGGCCGACCCCCAGACACCTGCAGGCCGGTGAGACCCCAGCGGCCCCTGGCCCACCTGCGCAGCCAGGTGCTCTCACCTTGGCAAATAGCGTCTTCCCGGTGCCTGGCGGCCCGTACATCAGAACGTTCCTGTACAGGCTGCGGTTCTTCTTCGTGTTCCTTGTTGCTATGGCAATGTCGCGCACCCGCGCTTCCAGGCTGGGCTGCCAGGGAAGACGGGGACTTGAGGGACACACTCAGGGCCCACGGAAGCCTTGGGAGTAGGGGCTGCAGCAATGCCCTGTTGTGGACTCCACTCCTCGGGGTGCCGACCAGCTGACAGACAGCCTATCCCCGGCACGGTCCAAGCGGTCGCATCTCAGAAGCCGAAAGCTCCTCAGCACCACCACGAGTGCCAGCAAGGGCCACAGCCTGGCGCAGCTCCGGGGACCCCTCCCTGCACCTCCCCGGGGGTCCCAGGCACACCGACTTACACTCAGCACAACACCCTCCAGTGCATCCTGGGGCCGACTGAGGAGCCGCCGGCTGACCTACCGGAGCGGAAAGGGAAGCGCCATTGGGTCACCTGCCACAGCCACGGCACAGCCACCAACGCACAGACAAACTCAGTAACACACCGAAACGGAGCTGCCCCAAAGCACTGCCAGGACTGGCCAGGACCTGGAACCCCGCCGCGCTGGGAGACTGGGTGACTGTTGCTGGGATTGGGGGCATTTTCCAGTTCCTTATTGGCTTTTATTTCATTACCTACCAAGTGATCTGTGGAGACCCCACCACCCCCGTGTGGAGAGCAGGCACCTCGGGGGTGGCCAGTGGCGCGGCTCCCCAGGGAGGCCGCCAGACACCATGGTCTGTGGCAGCTTCCCCGACACACACAAGCACACCCAAGTCCCAGCACTTGCAAGGACCCCGATGTGCTCCCAGGTCCCACCACGAGCCCCGAGCAGGGCAGACCGAAGCAGATGGGGCAAGAGTCTCACTGATGCAGACCCCTAAGCTACAGCGCCGGACAGGAAAACCCGGGCGTGAAGGAGCGTGCGGTTGCCTGTCATCCGGGGAAAGGGGAGGGACAGGAGGGTGTGCGCGGACAGGAGGGTGTGCACGGGCGGGCTCTGCTCGTGGGGTAGAGGGGACTCAGCCAGGAACCGCACTCAGGAAGGACCAGGCCCGCGCTGCTACCTGGAAGGGGTGCTGCAGCGCCTCCAGCACCGTGATGCGGGACGTCTCCCTCACCAGGGATGGCTTCCACAGCCGAGCCTCGATGAAGCGGGCCGCCGCGGCTGTCCCATTCTTGGCAGAGTAGACCCCGCCAGCCAGCAGCGTCAGCCCAACCACCTGCAGCGGAGACACTGCACTGGTGTGCCTGCCCCACCCTCCCTCCCTCCTAGAGCGGGAGATGCACGGGGCTGCCCCACCCTCTCTCCGCCCAAGGGAGCAGCACAGGGCTGTGTGCTGGCAGCACAGGAACCAGAATTCCCGCCCCGAATCCCACAGCCACGCGGTTACAGGAGGCAGGCGGGGCCGTCACAGCGCCCTCACTCAGGGCCATTTTCTCTGCAACTGGCAGCATAAATCCTGCAAAGCCCTGGTCGCTGAGCAGGGCCCTGGGCAGACTCAGCAGGCTATGTCACAGGGCCACACCCTCTGCTACTTCCTTGGCCACTAAAATGGTACTTTATTCCTGGAAAACAAGGCTAACCCGAAATCTCTGACTCGTTTTAAAAATCGATTAGGCTGACTGGGCGCGGTAGCTCAGGCCTGCGATCCCAGCACTTTGGGAGGCTGAGGCGGGTGGATCACCTGAGGTCGGGAGTTCGAGGCCAGCCTAACCAACCTGGAGAAACCCTTTCTCTACTAAAAAACAAAAAATTAGCTGGCCATGGTGGCACATGCCTGTAATCCTGTCTACGTGGGAGGCTGAGGCAGGAGAATCGCTTGAACCCGGGAGGCGGGGGTTGCAGTGAGCTGAAACCGTGCCATTACACTCCAGCCTATGCAACGAAAGCAAAAGTCTGTCTCAAAAACAAACAAAAACGTAGTCAGGCCTGGTGGCTCACCCATGTAATCCCAGCACTTTGGGAGGCCAAGACGGGCTGATCACTTGAGGTCCGAAGTTCGTGACCAGCCTGGCCAACGTGGTGAAACCCCATCTCTACTAAAAATAGAAAAACTGGCCTGGCCTGGTAGCACAGGCCTGTATTAGCTGGGCGTGGCGACGTGAGCCTGTAATCCCAGTCACTCGGGAGGCTGAGGCAGGAGAACTGCTTGAACTGGGGAGGTGCAGCTTGCAGTGAGCCGAGATGGCGCCACTGCACTCCAGTCTGACCACAGAGCAAGACCCTGCCTCTAAACACAAATACACAAAAGTCAATGGTGCATTAAGGAGCTCCCTCATGTTCTCATGTGACGCCGTCTCACCAACACGGGTGGAAACACCACCGGCGACATTCACCGTCACACTGGCGAGGCCACGGACAGGCGCTGCAGTCACAGCACAGGGCACCCGCACCATGGCAGAGCAACTGCCCACTGTGTGCCAGGCACCTACTGTGTGCTGGGCATGGGGGGACGGAGGACGCAGCCGTGTGCGACGTAGTGCGCCACCACAGCAGGCCGGAGCCTGAGCACAGAGTGAGGCTTTAAACAAGAGAGGAATCTGTGAACTTCAAACTCTCAGGGTTTTATAAGGACTAAAGAAGGTTTTTGCAAAATGGAGTCGGGGTCTTTGTTTTTGTTTTGAGAAGGAGCCTCGCTCTGTGGCCCAGGCTGGAGTGCAGTGGCGGGATCTCGGCTCACTGCAACCTCCATCTCCCGGCTCATGTGATTCTCCTCCCACAGCCTTCTGAGTAGCTTGGACTACAGGCGCCCGCCACCATGCATGGCTAATTTTTTTGTATTTTTTTTTCTTTTTTTTAGTAGAGACGGGGTTTCACCGTGTTAGCCAGGATGGTCTCGATCCCCTGACATCGTGATCCGCCCGCCTCTGCCTCTGCCTCCCAAAGTGCAGAAATCACAGGTGTGAGCCACCACTCTTGACAATTTTTTTCTTGAGACAAGGATTTGTTCTGTCGCCCAGGATGGAGTGCGGTGGTGCGATCTCAGCTCACTGCAGCTGCAACCTCCCTAGGTTTAGGTGATCCTCCTACCTCAGCCTCTCGAATAGTGGGACCATAGACGCTGCCACCTCACCCAGCTAATGTTTGATTTTTTTGTAGAGATGGAGTCTCACTGTGTGGCCCAGGCTACAACTGTGTTTTCTTCCTCTAGCTTGAGAAGGGAGGAGCAGCCGTGGCCAGCAGGTACAACGTGGGTTTGCTCTGTGCTGGCAGAGCGCCAGGGCCTGTGCAGAGCCAGCAGGGACAGGACCCAGGGCTCCAGGAGGCCCACACAGGCTGCCCCTCAGCCACCTCCCAGCCTTGTTTTATAAGAATGTTTACCGTGGCTGTCACTTTCTTCCGGTCTGTCAAAAAGGCATGGAATCCTTCCCCAAACAAGGTGCCAGCCGTCCTGCGGGGAAAGCAGCGATGTGACCAGGACGGACAAGATCCACGCCACGTAGCAAGAGCAGGTCGAGGCCCTGAGATGGCGGCCCGGCCTTGCCAGGACAGAGGGGCAGTGACCCCACCAAGGAGCCAGCCTACGGCGGCCAGGCCTGGAAGAGCTGGAGAGCCCCAGGAACAGCAACTCACACCTGCGGAGCTCCGTCTGCAGCCAGCATGGGCCTCGGCAGCGCTCACCTGATGGACTCCAAGACGGTCTGACGGTGCTCGGCCGCCTTCAGGTGGATCTGCTCGCGGATGATGTCTGCGTTCTCTCGTTCGGCCTTGGCGCGTGCCCGGGCCTCGGCCTCCACTCGCAGTATCTCGTTCTTCTGCCGCAGCTCCATCTCCCGCTCCACGGTGGCTGCCCCAGAGAAGCAGGGCAGCTCAGTGCCACGCTGTGCAGCACGTCTGCCTCCGTCCACACGGTGGACAGCCCCACGCCACGGACCGGCCCACACCGCTGGCAGGCTAAGGCCACGGACAGGCCCACGCCACCACCAGGCCCACGCCACAGACAGGCCACCACAGACCAGCCCAGGCCACGGACTGGCCCAGGCCACTGACAGGCCCACACTGCCAATAGGCTAAGACCATGGACTGGCTCACACTAAGGACAAGCCCAGCCCATGGGCAGGCCCACACCACAGCCCGCACCATGCCATGGACAGACACACACAGGCCTTTGTAGGAACGGTGCACATGCCGGCCCTGCCCGTGGATTAGAGCCCCTGAAATCCGACCCAGAGGCCCAGGCACCTTGTCAGGATGTTCGCTTTAAAGCAAAGAACTGGAATGTGGAGTTCCCAGAGAAGCCCCCCTCACACAGAAACACAGCTGTCAGATCTCAGAGGCGCGTGCCGTGCCATGTCTGGCTATGGAATAGTGAACGTGCACACCTCACCACAAGCCCATCCCCGGTGAAAAGTGGTGACAAACATTCGCCTGGCGCCCTCACCGACAAATGCCACGTGGCACCAAATACTTGTGATCCTCATCGGGGACAGTAAAGACAGTAAACAGGACAGTCCAGACCCATGTTCGAAGCAGAACACAGAGACTCACACCTGTAATCCCAGCTCTGTGGAAGGCCAAGGCAGGTGGAGAACAAGGTCAAGAAGTTCAAGACCAGCCTGCTCAACATAGTGAAACCCTGTCTCTACTGAGGATACAAAAAAATTAGCCGGGTGTGGCGGCGGGCACCTGTGATCCCAGCTACTCGGAAGGCTGAGGCAGAATTGCTTAAACCCAGGAGACGGAGGCTGCAGTGAGCTGAGATTGTGCCACTGCACTCCAGCCTGGGTGACAGAGCGAGACTCCATCTCAAAAAAAAAAAAAGACCCACGTTCTTCCCATGAAGTGAAGCAGCTCCCGCCCTCCCCGCACAGGCCCTGGCGTCTGGTCGCAGACAGCGGTGTCTTCCGAGAGGCAGTCCCACCCCAGGAAGCCCCAGCAGCCTTGCCCACTGCATGGGTAGCTATGAGGGGCTCAGGCTCAGTGCACGCCGGGTAAGTGTCTGTCAGGCGCTGAGGTCCACAAGCAGCCCCCGCTCTCCATGCTGCCACCATGGCCTCCGCCCCAGCCAGGAGAGCAGACAGCCTACCTCGCCGCATGGCCTCCTGCTTCTGCACTGACTCTTCCTGCTTCCGTAAATTCTCCTCATTGAGAAGTTGCTGAGGAGAAGCCGTAGAAAAAGAGAAAAGCCTTTAAAACCAGAAAAACACTCAACACCAATCCAGAGGTTGTGTCTGCCCCAGGACCGGGGGCTCCAAGCGTCCCGCGCACCTGGGGCCCTGCAGATGCCACAGCCTGACACACAGACACGGGTGACATCGGCCGGGACGGCAGTCGCTGAGGGGCTGCTTTCAGAACCCAAACTCCCCAGCGGCAGAAACAGCCCCCACTGCGGCTTCCCTGAGAAGGGCCACTGCGCGGCCGACCTCCCAACACCACCGCCCTGATTCACGCTGTGCTGAAGGAAGCCTCTGTCGTCTGCCAATTAAATGTTGAAGCTACAATGGCCGCAACAGACAACGCGTGAACCCCGCCTGTGAGCTCAGGACTAGGGCGACGGGCCCTAAGGAGAAGGGAGCAGATGTCACCCAAGCTTTTCTGATGGGCCCAGAGACCTGCTCTCTGCCACTGACCAGCCATCACAAGCACAACCCCCCACGCTGCCAGCTGGGCACCCGGGTGGGAGACAAGGAGGCTCCACGAGCCTGGAGAGCCTCTGCTGCGGAGACCATGCAGGGGGTGTGCGGGGGGTGATTCTGCCCGTGTGGGGGTGTATGCGCAGGGCGTGTGTGCCCGTGGTGGGGGGTGTGCCCATGCAGGAGGGGTTATGCATGCCCATGTGGGTGTGGGCCGGGGTGTGTGTGCCCATGTGTGGTGTGTGTGCCCGTGTGCGGTGTGCGGGGATGTGTACGTGCCCGTGTGCGGGGTGTGTGTCCATGTGGGGGGGGTGTGTACCTGTGTGCAGGGTGTGTGTGCCCGTGTGTATGGGGGTGTGTTTGCGGGTGGGCGTGTGTGGGCCTCTGTGGGGCTGTGTGTGTTCCCGTGTTGGGGGGTGCCTGTCTCCCCGTACGTGTGTGCACATGTCTCTGCATGTGTGCCTGTACACGTGTGCCGGTGCGCGTCTGTCCACGAAGTTTCCCCTGCACTAGCACCCACCATCAGCAGCCCCAGCGTTCTGGCCCCACGGCCTCTGACCCACCGACCGGTACGAAGCCGCCTACATTCTCAGGGACGCAGGCGCCTCGCAGGGGAGGCTCAGCTCACCTGCTGCTTCAATTGGTCCTCGTAGCGCTGCCGGGCCAGCTTGTCTTGATACTGGGCCCTCTGGGGGAGAAGAGGGCGGCAAGGACACATCTCAGCCGGGAGCTGCACTCAGGGCCGACCCGGCCGGGCACCGGGACTCCCACGCGCCATCAGCCTCACACAAACATGGGGGGGCGGGGACCTCCCGTCCGGCTCAGCAGTGAGGGACTTTGCAGGTCTTAGGCGTTTGTGCAAGGCTGTTCCAAGGGCAGCTCTAAAGGCTGACTCCAGAGCGCCTGGGACCGTGCCCGGCTCCTAGTCCTGCCCCGAGCCATCCCCTGGAGTCGGGCGGCCTCCCTCACGGCCTCTCGCGCTCTTACGGCCTGGTGCTGCCGCGTCTCCTCGCTCAGGGTCTTCCTCCTTTCCTCGGCCTGCGCCCGGATCTGCTCGCTCCTGAGCTGCTCCACAGCGGCCTCGTACTCCTGCAGAGCACAGCACCCACCACGTGGCACTTCTCAGGGCTGGCGCTGCCTGACAGTCCCTCCTGTGTCTGCACGGGCCCCGGCACGGCAGAGACTCCGTACCCGGACTAGTGTGTGCAGCAGGCTCGGGGCTTCCAGCTGCATCTGCACCCAGGCTCAGGCCCTGGGGGAATCCAGACCCGCAGGCAGAGAAGCACCAGCAGAAGCCTGCGAAGGCCCCCAGGGAAGGAGGGCGAACACCAACCCCACCCAAGGCTGTTTCTGGGCAGCTCCGGTCAGGTGCTCACTTTTGGACCATGATGGGGGCAGAGCTCGTGCCTATTCTAGGAATCCTGCTGGGTGGGCCAGGCGTCATGGCTCCAGCCTATAATCCCAGTGCCTTGTGAGGTCAAAGTGGGTGGATCACCTGAGGTCAGGAATTAGAGACCAACCTGGACAACATGATGAAACCCCACCTCTACTAAAAATATAAAAATCAGCCAGTTGTGGTGGCGGGCTCTTGTAGTCCCAGCTGCTCGGAGGCTGAGAAAGGAGGTTGAACCCAGGAGGTGGAGGTTGCAGTGAGCCGAGATCACGCCACTACACGCCAGCCTGGAAAACAGACTAAGACTCTGTCTTTAAAAAAATAAAAATAGGCCGGGCGCGGTGGCTCAAGCCTCTAATCCCAGCACTCTGGGAGGCCGAGACGGGCGGATCACGAGGTCAGGAGATCGAGAGACGATCCCGGCTAACACGGTGAAACCCCGTCTCTACTAAAAAAAATACAAAAAAATAGCCGGGCGAGGTGGCGGGCGCCTGTAGTCCCAGCTACTCGGGAGGCTGAGGCAGGAGAATGGCGTAAAACCCGGGAGGTGGAGCTTGCAGTGAGCTGAGATCCGGCCACTGCACTCCAGCCTGGGTGACAGAGCAAGACTCCGTCTCAAAAAAAAAAAAAATAAATAAAAAAAAAATAAAAATAATATGAAACAGGGCGGGCACAGTGGCACATGCCTATAATCCCAGCACTTTGGGAGGCCGAGGCAGGTGGATCACTTGAAGTCAGGAGTTCGAGACCAGCCTGGCCAACATGGTGAAACCCTGTCTCTACTAAAAATATAAAAAGTAGCCAGGTGTGGTGGCGGGTGCCTGTAATCCCAGCTATTCAGGAGGCTGAGGGAGGAGAATTGTTTGAACCCAGGAGGCGGAGGTTGCAGTGAGCCCAGAAGGCACCACAGAACTCCAGCCTGGGAAACAGACTCCATTTCAAAATAAATAAATAAATAAAATAAAACAAAAAAATCTTGCTGAGCATAATGAAATGAGGTGAGAACCTCAAGAAGACCCAGGCCCTCCAGACGACAAGACACCCTCACCAACACTGGTCCTCTCTCTCAGGTGGCACTGCAGCAGCGTCTCTCACCTCCCCTTGTTTCCTTCTGTGAGATGAGGCACCCAAGCTTGGCCCTGGGCCCCACTGCTGCCCATGTACACGTCGCTGGCCCTACCCACCGGCAGTAGCCCACCAATCTCCATGCCCAAACCCCACGTGCACCCCGGCCTCCCCACCCACACCGGCCCCACTCACTTTGAGCTTGGACTGTTGCTCCAGCTGCAGCGTCTGCTCCTGCATCTGTGCCAGATTCAGGGCATCCTTGGCATAACCTGTGGATGCAGGGGCACGGAGGGCAGGTGTTAGGATACCCGGATGCCACTGGGCAGGCATGCACATCAGCCAAGGGGCTTTCTGGAATCCACGGCCACGCCTCGACCTCAAAGCCCCCAGCCCTGCCTCACCATCCTCCTTCCCAGTCAGACCTGGCATGACGATGCCCCGTCCCCAGCACATGGGCTGATGCATTTGTGGGGTTTTACCCCCCAGGGACAGTCTTGGAGGGTCACATCGGGAAGGCCGTCCCACATGGACGGGAGGAGGCTATTTCCCAATTCAACAGAAAGTCAGGTGATGGCTAAAGGGTCCTCTATTTTTTCATGTTACAAACGCTTTTCTTAAGCTTCCAATAGCTATTGTCATTGATCTGCCATCAGGCACGTGCAGGCAAGAAAAAGAATGAATAAGAACTGGATACCAGCCAACACGCTCAGGGTGACGAGGGCAAGCGTATGACAACGTCCCCAGTTACACTTTGTTCCTGGTGGGGAACTGACAGGTTGACGTTTGGGTGTTCTGGGACAGAAGTACGTATTCTCCGAGCTGCTGAGGCCTAAGCATCAGGTCTCAAAATTTTCTGGGATGACAGTTTTCCCATCACAAAATTTTACCATAAAAATCTTCTGGTCAAGCACGGTGGCTCACTCCTGTAATCCCAGCACTTTGAGAGGCTGAGGCGGGTGGATCACTTGAGGCCAGGAGTTAGAGACCAACCTGACCAATGTGGTGAAACCCCATTTCTACTAAATATACAAAAATCAGCCGGGTGCAGTGGCGCACACCTGTAATCCCAGCTACTCTGAGGCTGAGGTGGGAGGATGGCTTGAACCCCAGAGGCAGAGGCTGCAGTGAACCCAGATCATGCCACTACACTCCAGCTGGATAGAGAGAGACTTAAAGAAACAAATCTCCAGGCTGGCCAACATGGCGAACCTCGTCTCTACTAAAAAGACAAAAAAAGAGCAGGGCACAATGGTACACGCCTGTGACCTCAGCTACTTGGGAGGCCGAGGCTGGAGAATTGCTTGAACCCAGGAGGTGGATGTTGCGATGAACCGAGGTTGCGCCACTGCACTCCAGCCTGGGCGACAGAGCGCATCTCCATCTCAAATAAGTAAATAAATAAATACATCTTCTAACACAGAAAGACACGTCCGTAAAGCCGGCAGGGACCCCTGATGTTCCTGGGCTGGGGCTTTGTTCCCGTCTCTCTGCCTCCTGCAGGCCGTCTCACTTTTGAAGCCTTCAGAGTCAACTGCAGCAAACACATCACTACCTAGAGCTCGACGTTTGTTCTCAGCTCAGGTGTAATTTTTGGAGGTGACTGACACAGGCGTGAAGCACCGTGGGGAGCACTCATTGCACTTAGACAGAGGCAGCGATGCACTGGCGTGTGGGGTGGCTCTGCTTGGGCCTGTGGTTAGGCACGAACTGGCCTGACGGGCATCAGCGTCAGAGTCCAGGAAAGAGCTTGGAGGCCAACCTCGGGGGCCCCAGTGACCACAGCACAGATGGGACAGGGACCTGCCTCTCAGGGAAGACAGTGCCAGGTCAATGGGTTTGGCTGGTGAGCTCAGGAAGCCAAGGGCTGAAGGGCCCCGGGGCCCTCACCCACTCTCACTCTGACCTGGAGGGGGCCGAGGGTGTGTCAGCCCCCAGGGTCTTGCCACAGAGCAGTGACAGGAACGTGGGCGTCACAGTGAGGCGCTCTGCCTACCTCCTCCCGAGAGGACCTTTGGCTGGATTAAGCTGAGGCCACTCCCTCCCCTGAAAATGGCTCATTGACAGTTCCCACCCCCAGTGACTCTGGGGAGGATGAGAGGGGAAAGAGCAGGTCTGGGGCTCATGTGGCCTCTCGTTATTAGAATGAGAACAATCATTCACCACCTTGGGGTGACCCTGTGCCAGGACGTGCTCCCAGCGCATGGATTCACACCCACTGGGCACGAGGGTCTCCTCCAGGCACCCCTCTGTGGAGGGCAGGGCGAGCGCTGGTGCTCACACAAACAGTTCTGGGACAATGTGCTGCTCTGGCTTCCAAGGACAGGCCGCAGGAGGGGTCAGGGAAGACCCTGGGAATGAGGCAGCATGGGGCTTTGCCTCCAGGGACAAAGGAGGCAGCCAGGCTGTGAGGAGGAGCCGCCCATTTGCCCGGAGAGCAGCAAGGCCAAAGCAACGGGCTCCAGCCGAATCTCGGCGACCCTGCTGCCAAGAAAGGGGCACACAGGAAGCCAGGAGGGGACGGGCTTGCAGAGGGACTACCAGGCAGATGGGCACGGCAGGGAGCACCCGGGGAAAAAGAGGTCCAGGACGGAAAGGGAGCGGCAAACTTTGGAGAAACCTCTCTCACCAGCCAGCAGTCAGGCCAGGAAGGAGGGAAGGGATAAAAATGAAAGAATGAAAGCGTCCACACCTGGAACAGAATCCACAGGAAACAAAGACTGATGGAGGGCTCCCCACGGTGCACCTGGCAGGCCCCGCTCGACCACAGAGGGCAGGCCAAGGCACTGGCAACCCAGGCAGCGCAGACTGCAGATCAGGGGCTCTGGGGCTGCCAGGACTGGAGCAACTCAGAGGCACAGGTCTGCACCATGGGGAGGAGGCCCTCGGTGGCCCGAGGCTGCTCAATCAGGCCTGTACCACTGATAACTGAGATTCAGCTTCTCGAAGTGGGACAAGTTTCGATCTCTAAGTGAAGTTAGCAGGTGAAAACCCTCAGGAATTCGGACAGAAAGGAACCCTCCAAATGAGCCTGCAGCAAGAAAGTCCGTCACCCAAGTCCGCTGTCCTCCGAGGTGCCCTGAAGTCCAGCCCTTGATTCCCATCCTAACCTGATCATTAAAATTACCCAGCAAGGCCATGAGCAGCGGCTCACGCCTGTAATCCCAGCGCTTTGCGAGGCCGAGGTGGGCGAATCACCTGAGGCCAGAATTCAAGACCAGCCTGGCCAACATGATGAGTGCTCACACCTGAGGGCACTGGGTCAGGGATTTCCTCAAGTTGGGCAGCACGGCCTGACCTGCGGTTCACAGACCTCGCCGTGCAAACGCTAACGTCTTCCAACAAGAACTGCAAATCTGCTAGACTCTTGTTAGAACCAAATAACTCTCAAATATGCTTCCCTCGTTATGTGGCAATTGCTAGCAACCACCCAACAAACCCATCTACCGACATGGCCACGCCTCGGCCTGCGCCACGTGGAGGCAGCAAGCGCAGAAAGATCCCACGCACTCGGTGGTAACTGAAAGACCAGGGCCAGCCCCAGGCCCTGACCCTGTAACCCGTGAGCGCCACCTCCGCACCTGACCCGCTCTTGACAGCTGCAGAGGTGCAAAAGGGTGACGGAAAGAGTCCGATCCTCCCGGCACGCGAAACGGCTCCGGCCGGGGGTGCTCCGGGGGCGCAGTCTCCCCCGGGAAGTGGCTGCCGACAACGGCGAGGAGCAGCAAGGGCCAGAGCTCCGGGCCCGGCCCGGCCCGGCCCGACCGTCCCACCCGCTCCGCTCCGCCGCACTCACGCGACTGCTCCAGCTCGCGGGCCGCCTTGGCGGCGCGCTCCAGGCCGGTGGGGTCGAAGTTGCTCCATTTGTCCTTGGGCGCCGGCCGGTCTCCCAAGACGCGGTCCCCGCCGCCCTCGGCCCCGGGCTGCGCGGGCGGCAAAGGCAGCGGCGGCCCCGCGCCTTCACCCTTGGGGCCCTTGTTAATGCCGAAAAGCCACGACATGCTCGCGCCGCCGCCGCCAGGACCCCAACCCGAGTCTGACTCGCGTGCGTCTGGGACAAGCCTCCACGAGCCGCGAGCCGGTGGCCAAGACCACTGCGCAGGCGCGACACACCCCCTTCCTCCCGGCAATAGAAGCGCGTAAGGGACACGCGCGCAGCCCTCGGATTGGCCGCCAGGACAGTGACGCCACAGCGACGGCGCCGCCATGGCGGAGCGTGCTCTGGGACCCAGCGGGCGGGAATGGGGGCGGGAGTAGGGCGGGCGGGGTGAAGCGTCTGGCTACGGGAGCCACGCCGGGACAAAATTCTCGAGGGACGGACGCGAACCCGGGGCAACCTCCGCCCAGCGCCGCGACCGCGTCGTTGCCAGGGGCTCCGCGGAGTTCCGGCCTTGGCGGCAACGGGTGGCAAGTGTCCAGGGAGCGCCCCGCGGTGAGTCCAGGACGCAGAGAAGAGTCTCGCGGGAGCCTCACCCGAGACAGCACCGGCGCCCGGGCGAGCCGAGCCCTTCCGCGGTGAGTCGGCGCCCTGGGGTCGCCGCGCCAGGAGCTCAGGGGAGGCACCTCCCCTCCTCCGTGTCTCCGCATGGCCCTAGGGCTCCCCACAGAGGGAGCCGGGGCCTCCCGCCCACGACCGCGGAGCGGCCCCTTCCCGCGTGGCGGGGCCAGCGAGCTCCTCTTGCGGGGCGTGGACGGGGCCGGGGTGCCCGGCATACAAGCTTATGGAGCAGCCCCCTTTGAAGATCTCCAGGTGGACCTCACAGAGATGCCACAGTGTGGCGGTAACAAGTGTTTGCTAGTTCTTGTGTGTACCTGCTCTGGGTGGGTGGAGGTTCATCCAACACGAACTGAGAAAGCTCCTGAAGTAACCCGTGTGCTTCTTCGAGATCTTATTCCTAGATTTGGACTGCGCTTACGGATCGGCTCAGATAACCGGCGGGGGTTTGTGGCTGACTTGGTACAGAAGACAGCAAAGGTGTTGGGGATCACATGGAAATTGCATGCCGCCTACCGGCCTCAGAGTTCCGGAAAGGTGGAGCGGATGTATCGGACTATCAAAAATAGTTAGGGAAAGTATATCAGGAAACAGGATTAAAATGAATACAGGCTCTCCATATGGCATTATTTAAAATTAGATGTACCTCTTCTAAAAGAACAGGATATTCCCCCTATGAAATATTGTATCATAGGCCCCCTCACGTATTGCGGGGACTTCCAGGCACTCCCCGAGAGTTAGGTGAAATTGAGTTACAGCGACAGTTACAGGCTTTAGGGAAAATTACACAAACAATCTCAGCCTGGGTAAATGAGAGATGCCCTGTTAGCTTATTCTCCTCAGTTCACCCTTTCTCCCCAGGTGACCCAGTGTGGATCAAGGACTAGAACGTAGCCTCTTTGTGCCCATGGTGGAAAGGACCCCAGACTGTCGTCCTGACCACTCCCACTGCTGTGAAGGTAGAGGGAATCCCAGCCTGGATCCACCACAGCCTTGTAAAACCTGCAGCGCCTGAAACCTGGGAGGCAAGACCAAGCCCGGACAACCCTTGCGGAGTGACCCTGAAGAAGACGACAAGCCCTACTCCAGTCACACCCGGAAGCTGACTGGTCCACGCACGGCCGAAGCATGAGGAATCTCATCGTGGGATTCATTTTCTTAAATTTTGGACTTATACAGTAAGGGCTTCAACTGACCTTACTCAAACCGGTGACTGTTCCCAGTGTATTCATCAGGTCACTGAGGTAGGACAGCAAATTAAAACAATCTTCCTGCCGGGCGCGGTGGCTCAAGCCTGTAATCCCAGCATTTTGGGAGGCCGAGACGGGCGGATCACAAGGTCAGGAGATCGAGACCATCCTGGCTAACCCAGTGAAACCCCGTCTCTGCTAAAAAAATACAAAAAAAAACTAGCCGGGCGAGGTGGCGGGCGCCTGTAGTCCTAGCTACTCGGGAGGCTGAGGCAGGAGAATGGCGTAAACCCGGGAGGCGCAGCTTGCAGTGAGCTGAGATCCGGCCACTGCACTCCAGCCTGGGCGACAGAGCCAGACTCCGTCTCAAAAAAAAAAAAAAAACAAACTTTCTGTTCTATAGTTATTATGAATGCATGGAAATGTTGAAAGAAACTTGCTTGTATAATGCCACTCAGAACAAGGTATGTAGCCGGGGAAATGACCAACCTGATGTGTGTTATAACCCATCTGAGCCCCCTGCAACCACTGTTTTCAAAATAAGATTAAGAACTGGCCTTTTCCTAGGTGATACAAGTAAAATAATAACTATAACAGAAGGAAAAGGAATCCCCAAACAAGTAGCCTTAAGATTTGATGCTTGTGTGGCCATTAATAGTAACAAGCTAGGAACAGGATGTGGTTCTCTTAACTGGGACAGGAGCTACAGAGTAGAAAATAAATATGTTTGTCATGAGTCAGGGGTTTGTGAAAATTGTGCCTATGGCCAAGTGTTATTTGGGATACTTGGAAAAAGAACAAAAAGGACCCGGTTCATCTTCAGAAGGGGAAGCCAACCCCCCCTGTGCTGCCGGTCGTTGTAACCCACCGGACCTCATAATCACCCATCCCCTAGACCCCCGCCACCCCTCCTGTGCTGCCGGTCACTGTAACCCACCGGACCTCATAATCACCCGTCCCCTAGACCCCCGCCAACCCTCCTGTGCTGCCGGTCGTTGTAACCCCCCGGACCTCATCATCACCCATCCCCTAGACCCCCGCCACCCCTCCTGTGCTGCCGGTCACTGTAACCCACTGGAACTAATAATCACCAATCCCCCAGATCCCCGTTGGGAAAAGGGAGAACCCGTAACCCTGGGGATCGATGGGACAGGGTTAAACCCCCATGTTGCCATTTTAGTCCGAGGGGACGTCTACAGGCGCTCTCCCAAACCAGTGTTTCAAACCTTTTATGAGGAGCTGAATCTGTCAGCACCAGAACTTCCGAAAAAGACAAAAAATTTGTTTCTCCAATTAGCAGAAAATGTAGCTCATTCCCTTAATGTTACTTCTTGTTACGTACGCGGGGGAACCACTATGGGAGACCGATGGCCTTGGGAAGCCCGAGAGTTGGTGCCCACTGATTCAGCTCCTGATATAATTCCAGTTCAGAAGGCCCAAGCTAGCAACTTCTGGGTCCTAAAAACCTCAAGTATTGGACACTACCGTACAGCTAGGGAAGGAAAAGACTTTATCATCCCTGTAGGAAAGCTTAATTGTATAGGACGGAAGTTGTACAACAGCACAACAAAAACAATTACTTGGTGGGGCCTAAATCACACTGAAAAGAACCCATTTAGTAAATTTTCTAAATTAAAAACTGCCTGGGCTCATCCAGAATCTTATCAGGACTGGACTGCTCCCGCTGGACTATACTGGGTATGTGGGCACAGAGCCTACATTCGGTTACCTAATAAATGGACAGGTAGTTGTGTTATTGGCACTATTAAACCGTCCTTTTTCTTCTTACCTGTAAAAACGGGTGAGCTCCTAGGTTTCCCCATCTACGCCGCCCGAGAAAAGAGAGGCATAGTTATAGGAAACCGGAAAGATAATGAGTGGCCTCCTGAAAGGATCATACAGTATTATGGGCCTGCCACATGGGCACGAGACGGCTCAGGGGGATACTGAACCCCCATCTACATGCTCAATCGGATCATAGGGTTGCAGGCCGCCTTAGAAATAATTATTAATAAAACTGGCAGAGCTTTGACTGTTTTAGCTCGGCAGGAAACGCAAATGAGAAATGCTATCTATCAGAATAGACTAGCCTTGGACTACTTGCAGCTAAAGGAGGAGTCTGTAGAAAATCTGACTTAACCAATTGCTGCCTACAAATAGATGCTGAAGGACAGGTGGTTGAAAACACAGTCAGGGGCCGGGCGCAGTGGCTCAAGCCTGTAATCCCAGCACTTTGGTAGGCCGAGGCGGGTGGATCACGAGGTCAGGAGATCGAGACCATCCTGGCTAACATGGTGAAACCCCGTCTCTACTAAAAAAATACAAAAAACTAGCCGGGCGAGGTGGCGGGCGCCTGTAGTCCCAGCTACTCGGAGGCTGAGGCGGGAGAATGGCGGGAACCCGGGAGGTGGAGCTTGCAGTGAGCCGAGATCCGGCCACTGCACTCTAGCCTGGGCCACACAGCGAGACTCCGTCTCAAAAAAAAAAAAAAAAAAAAAAACACAGTCAGGGACATGACGAAGTTGGCACATGTGCCTGTACAGGTTTGGCATGAGTTTGATCCTAGGTCTTTATTTGGAAAATGGTTTCCAGCTATAGGAGGATTTAAAACCCTCATTGTAGGTGTATTGCTAGCAATAGGAACTTGCTTGCTGCTCCCCTGTGTATTACCCTTGCTTTTTCAAATGATAAAAAGTTTTGTTGCTACTTTGGTTCATCAGAAAACTTCAGCACATGTGTATTATATGAATCACTGTTGCTCTATCTCACAGAGAGACTCAGAAAGTAAAGATGAGAGTGAGAACTGCCACTAAAAAGGTGAAAATTCTCAAAGGGGGGAAATATAGAATGAGACCACCACTTCTCCTGTTGTCCTACCCAGCTTTTCCCCATCTCCCCTTTTCCCCAGTTTATAAGACAGGAAAAGGGAGAGAAAGCAAAACGTTGGAAAGAAACAGAAGATAAATAGTTAAGAACTTTCACCTCCCTTGTCCAGGCGCTCGCCATTGCTCCATCTATGAGACGCCCCCTTCTATAGAAGTAAATTGTCTAGCTAAGGAAAACGTATATTTGAGTGCTACTTCTTTGGCGGCACAGAAAATTTACATATAACACAGTGAGCTGCCCAGATCTCGTCACTGCACTCCAGCCTGGGCGACAGAGTGAGACTCCGTCTCAAAAAAATATATAAAAAACAAGCCAGAAAATGCTAGCCAGGCACGGTGGCTCACACCCGTAATCCCAGCACTTTGGGAGGCTGAGGTGGGCAGATCACCTGAAAACAGGAGTTTGAGACCAGCTTGGCCAACAGTGAAACCCCCGTCTCTGCCAAAAATACAAAAATTAACCTGGGCATGGTGGTGTGCGCCTGTAATCCCAGTTACTCCAGAGGGCTTAGGCGGGAAAACTGCTTGAACTCAGGCGGTGGAGGTTGCGGTGAGCTGAGATCAGGCCACTGCACTCCACCCTGGGTGAGCAAGACTCTGTCGCCAAAAAAACAAACAGGCCAGCTGTGGTGGCTCACGCCTGTAACCCCACCACTTTGGGAGGCTGAGGCAGGAGGATCGCTTGAGCCCAGAAGTTGGAGACCAGCCTGCGCAACAAAGAGAGACCCCGTCTCTTCCAAGAAATAGAAGAGGAGGAGAAAAACCAAATGAGTTCCCCTGCCATAGCCAGACGCCCCCCAAACCATGGCTATAATGAAGGTTTTGGTTTTATTTATTGAGAGGGTCTCACTCTGTCAACCAGGCTGGAGTGCAGTAGTGCGATTTCTGCTCACTGAAACCTCCGCCTCCCATGCTCAGGCGATCCTTCTACCTCAGCCTCCAGGCTAAGAAGCTGGGACCACCGACATGTGCCACCTGACCTGGCTTTTTTTTTTTTTTTTTTGAGAGGGCGTTTCACTCTTGTTGTCCATCCTGCAGTGCAATGCAAGGACTTGGCTCAGTGCAACCTCCACTTCCCGGGTTCAAATGATTCTCCTGCCTCAGCCTCCTGAGTACCTGGAATTTCAGGCACCTGCCACCACGCCTGGCTAATTTTTGTATTTTTTTTAAGGAGAGATGGGGTTTTACCATGTTGGCCAGGCTAGTCTGGAACTCCAGACCTCAGGTGATCCACCCGCCTTGGCCTCACTGAGATTCCAGGCCTGAGCCACCACGCCCAGCCCCATCAAGGTTTTCAGGGCCTAGCTGCAAAGCAGGGGCAGGGGAAGTTACAGGGGCGGTGAAGCACGCGGTACGGGCCAGCATCTGTTTGAAGCCGCTGTGTCTGTTTCCTGTGCACTTTATGGAGGGAGGCGAAGGAGCACCCGCGTCTGCATGGCTGCAGGATGGGGCACAGGCAGCCGGTCCCAAGCGGCATTCAGGCAGCCGGCCCCGCTGTGGCAGGCACCTCATGTGAAACCCACCCCTCTGTGATTAGGAAATTCTCCAGAAAGCTCCAGCCTGTCTTTTCTGTCACCTTTGACCCCAGGAGGACACTAGGGGACCCAAACCCCGCCCCGCATCAGCCAATAGACACAGCAGTGCGGCACCTGTGGGACTTTTATTAGGGGGAGCATTTCCTAAATGTGCAGGGCCGGAAAGGCAGGGGTGGGAGGGGTCCACGGCCAGGCTCCGTGAGTTGTGGTCTCACTGTGGACTCAGGATTAGGGGTGCTCATCCACTGGCCCAGGCCCCTCCCTCTTCAGCGCATTTCTCTGCTGGTGCTGCTGGACAAAGTCTTCAACATGGGCATCCAACATGGCCTCGGTGAGGACTCCATCCTCGGAGGCACACGCCGTGTCCTAGTGAGGAGAGAGGGAGCTGAGGGAGGCCACCATGGGAGCCCCCACCCGTAACGCACGCCAGGGCCCCAAAGTGGGGAGGGTGCAGACCAGGGGCACCAGGACGGCCTCAGGGTGAAACACAGGCTTCCGGCACCTCGGCAGAGCCCAGCATGCGTGTGGACACTGGGAGCGGCCCCTGCAGTGCCACAGCCCTGCCTGCGTCCTCAGCACTGCAGTTTCTCAGTGACTTTCTAATAACGGAAAGCCCGAGGCCGAGCCCCACTGACTGCAGACCCAGGGCAGCTCCCAAGAGGCAGGAGGGAATTGCAGACCCTCTGCGTGTCTCAGCCGTGGCCAGGCAGTGCCCCCGGGTCACAGTGCACCGCAGAACCTCAGACGCTCACCTTCATAGGCCTCCAGGGCAGAGGTAGCCACTGCCCAACCTCGGGGCACATAGGTGCTAGCATCAAGGTCACCCATGCCTCCACAGGACTTGGTATCCAGCATGCGGAGGCTGGAGCTGCTGGGACTGTGGCCCTTGAAGTCACTTCAAGCACCTCAGGTGCAGCCCTTCTGCCATGGACAGGTGGCTCTCCATCCCAGTGCCAGTGAAAGGTGTGGAGTCCCCAAGGGGAGGCACCCATGGGTCAGGGTGAAGGTGTGGGCACCCCCACTGGGCACTGTGCTTGGGAGTGCACCAGGACGCCTGGAGGAAGCACAGGGCAGGGGATGCTTCCCGGACAGCTGAGGGGGTCCCTCACTCAGTCCCGGCTGTGCCTCCCAGAGGCAGGACTCATCTCACAGGGTAAAGGGGCAGCAGCACACCATCCTCCCACAACACGGCTGCCACGACGGGACCTGCCATGGGGATGACCACGTGGTGCTTGTACTCTCTGGCAGCGCCCACCGCTCGCCAAGAGCCACTGTGTGGGGAGACACCGACTGGAGCTGGACCGCCACTGTGCGTCAGGAACCCAGGTCTGTTCAACATCATTTTTGATCTTGAGCCGACCCAAGAGAGTTGAAACAGGTGTGGGAACCCTCAGGGTGCACCCGAGTGGCTGCACCTCACCCAGGGCCCAGTGGAGGAAAGGGGATGAGCAGATGCTCACGGGGCCACCCCACCAGGAAGCACGGGACCTGGCAGAGCCCACCAGAAGTGACAGTGAAATGTCACGTGGCCTCCTGGGTGGGATTCTCGGCAAGACCCAGTCCCAGGTGGGGCCATGCCCAGCTAATTTTTTATATTTTTAGTAGAAACAGGGTTTCACCATGATAGCCAGGATGGTATCGATCTCCTGACCTCGTGATCCACCCGCCTTGGCCTCCCAAAGTGCTGGGATTACAGGCGTGAGCCACCGTGCCTGGCCACTTTTTTTCTTTTTAATTTTTGAGACAATGTTGCTTTTCTTGCCCAGGCTGGAGTGCAAATGGCACGATCTCGGCTCACTGCAACCTCTGCCTGCCGCATTCACGCGGTTCTCCTGTCTCAGCTTCCCGAGTAGCTGGGATTATGGGCATGCACCACCATGCCCAACTAAGTTTGTATTTGTAGGAGAGATGGGGTTTCTTCACGTTGGTCAGGTTGGCCTCGAACTGCCGACCTCAGGTGATCCACCCGCCTCACACTTTTATGATAAAAACACTCACCAAACCAAGAATTGAAGGATACACCCTAAACACAATGAAAGCCACATATCACAAGCCCATAGGTGACATACTCAGAGGTGGAAACAAAGCTTTTCCTCTGAGGTAAGGAACCAGGCAAGAATGCTTTACCGCTTCTATTCCACACACCACTGGAAGCTCTGGCCAGAGCAATTAGACAAGAAAAAGAAAAGTCATCCAAACTGAAAAGGGACAGGTAAAATCACCTGTTCTCAGATGAAATAATCTTATATGTGGAAAGTCCTAGAATCCATATTGGAAGAAAAAACGCCGTGACATCAGCAAACTTACAGGATACAAAACCAACAGCAAAGAAAGCTTCAGTTCTACATCCCAACAGTGAATAATGTGAACGGGGAATTATGAAACCGTTTCCATTTACAATAGCAGCGGAAAGAATAAAATACTTGGAAATTCACTTAACCAAGGAGGTGAAAGACTTGTACAATGGAAACTGGCCGGACGCGGTGCCGCCCTTTGGGAGGCTGAGGCAGATGGATTACCTCATGTCAGGAGTTCAAGACCAGTCTGGACAACATGGTGAAACATCGTCTCTACTAAAAATACAAACATTAGCCAGGCATGGTGGCTCAGGCAATCCACTTACCTCGGTCTCTCAAAGTCCTGGGATTACAAGTGTGAGCCAAAGTGCCCAGCACAAAAAACACAACTGTTGAAGGACCAAGTGTGGGGTTGGGCACGGTGGCTCCCCACCACGACTGTGAGCGGCGCGGGATGAGCATCCTTATAAGGGACACCAGAGAGCCGGGTTGCTCTCGCTGCCACATGAGTATCCAGCAAAGAACACTGCACGGGGGGGACGGAGCAGGCACCCTGACCTTGGGCCTCTGCCTTCAGAGCTGTGGGGACACACGCCCCAGTGGTTAGGGCAGGCCCAACAGCCAACCACACTCCTGGGTTTTTGTTTTCTGTTTTTTGTTTTTTTTTTGAGACGGAGTCTCACTCTGTTGTTCAGGCACGAACTCGGCTCACTGCAACCTCCACCTCCCAGGTTCAAGTGATCCTCCCACCTCAGCCTCCCAAGCAGCTGGCATTACAGGCGTGCACCATTGGGTCCGGCTAATATTTTTATTTTTTGTAGAGATGGGGTCTCCCCTTGCTTTCCAGGCTGGTCCTGAACTCCTGACTTCAAATAATCTGGCTGACTTGACCTCCCCAAATGCCGGGAAAACAAGCGTGAGCCACCACCACGCCTGGCCTCTGCTTGCTTAGTTGTGGAAAGAGACCTGGTCCCAAGTGGGGACGGCCTGGAACACAGACCTCAGCTGACCCACAAGGATGGGGTTTGAGATCTGAGGCTCTTTGTCACAGCGGCATAACCCAGCCTGTACTGACTAATACAGCCCCTAGAGACCCCGGCTCCAACGTTCAAATCAAGGTAACTGGCTACTTCATGAACCTGTCACACACCAAAGCGCTGCTAGGTGGAGTGACCAGGTTGTCACACAGACTCTGCAGACCCCAGAGGCAGCGATGCCTGTGCATGGCCTTGGTGCCTTCAGCCCCACAGACCTGGTTTTGCTTTTCCAGCAACCCCCAAAGATCAAAGCTTTCCGGATGGCCACGCCCACACTGCTCTGAGTCCCGGCTCCCCGTCCCTGCAGCAGCCACGGAGCTGCAGGAGGGGTCCTCCAAGGAGCAGCCGGCTGTGGGACAATCAGAGGTCAGGTCACTCCTGCCCATGTGTCTGAGCCCGTCAAGCAGGACCAAGGCAATGGACGTGGTCCAGGAAACACAACATCCCTCCAGCCCCACCACCAAACTCAGGCGGGGCCTGTCCCGATGACCATTCACACCAGGGGGTGCCCGTCTGCCAAGGTGAGCATCGAAAGCCTCCCGGCCCACCTGGCAGAGCCCGGATACTAGGATGCCGGACGGGCTTCCTGACCTGTGACCGTCAGCCACGGACATGCCCTGAAGGGGTGGCCTGCCCCTCCACACCTGTGGGTGTTTCTCGTTAGGTGGAACGAGAGACTTGAGAAAAGAAATAAGACACAGAGACAAAGTATAGAGAAAGAAAAGCGGGGCCCAGGGGACCGGCGCTCAGCTTACAGAGGACCCACGCCGGCACCGGCCTCTGAGTTCCCTTAGTATTTATAGATAATTATCTTTACCATCTTAAAGATAAGGGAGTGGCAGGACAATAGGATCATTTTTAGGGAGGAAATTAGCAGTAAGACATAAGAACAAGGATCTGTGACATGAGTAAGTTTAAAGGAAAATCCTGTGCCTTGAGATAAACCTTTTAGCAACATTGTTTCATCCTATCACATGGGGATAAACCTTGGACAATACCTAGCTTTTCTAGGAACAAAGTCACACCCTGCACGCCCAAAATCCATTAAACCTTGAGTTACCACAGCACATGTCTCTTGCAAGGACAAGGTCACAGATTAACAGCATCTCAAATACAGAACAAAATGGAGTCTCTTATGTCTACTTCTTTCTATATAGACACAGTAACAGGCTGATCTCTTTCTTTTCCCCACATTTCCCCCTTTTCTTTTCAACAAAACCACCATTGTCATCATGACACCGAGATTACATACTTCACAAAGTAATAGAATATCACAAAGCAAGTGGAGGCAGGATGAGATCACAGGATGGTGTTAAAATTAAAATTTTTTGGGCATGCATAGTCATGGATAACATCTTATCAGAAAACAGGGTTTGAGAGCAGACAACCTGTCTGACCAAAATTTATTAGGTGGGAATTTCCTCATCCTAATAAGCCTGGGAGCGCTACAGGAGGCCGGGGCTTATTTCATCCCTTCGGCTTCAACCGTAAAAGGCGGCACGCCTCCAAGGGGGTCGTTATAGGCCTACCCTCAGAGCGCATTCTCTTTCTCAGGGGTGTTCCTTGCTGAGAAAAAGAATTCAGCGATATTTCTCCTATTTGCATAATGAAAAGAGAAGAAATATGGCTCTGTTCCGTCCGGCTCACCGGCGGCCAGTTCAAGGTTGCCTCCTTTGTTCCCTGAACATTGCTGTTATCTTATTCTTTTTCCAAGATGCCCAGATTTCATATTGTTCAAACACACATGCTCCACAAACAATTTGTGCAGTTAAGGCAATCATCACAGGGTCCGGAGGTGACATATATCCTCCTCAGTTTACAAAGAAGATGATAGAATTAAGAGATTAAAGACATAAGAAATTACAAAAGTATTAATTTTGGAGAACTAATAAATGTCCATGAAATCTTCACATTTTATGTTTTTCTGCTGTGGCTTCAGCCAGTCCCTGCGTTCAAGGTCCCTGACTTCCCGCAATGTTCTCCCTCCCTTTTCCTCTATATAAATGTGCCATGGTGATGAAGGCTTGTTCGT